GATCTGTCTTAAATATTAATAATTGATAATAATTATTTTTATAATTGATTCTTAATATTTAAGACTGTCTTAAACACAGTCTTAAAATGTCGTAAACTAATTATAACAGAGCTGTATTAGTATACAGCGCTATTAAATATATTTTCTGTTATATACATATGTGGTGTCGGGGATGATAAGATACGTGATGTGACATGATGGTGGTAGATATTTATGATGGTAGATATTTCTACCATGATAAGATAAAGTAATGTTCTAAAGTGACCTTTAGAACAAGTTATTTTAGGTCAAGTAACATAAATATGACGATATCGTAAGCCATTTACTTGAGACAACGGTAATTTACGGTAGTTTGTCCGCTCCTTTTACATCGCATTATAAATGTAAGTGTATGTGTGTTACAATAAAAGTACAAAATTTAGTAATTATATATTTATCAATAAATGTAATTTTACTTTTAAATCAATTAAGTGAGTAGAGTAATCTGACTCTTCAAAATTCTAAAGTTTCTTTGTATTTATATTTACCTAATGACTGCGAAAGTTATTAAAAGAAATAATAACAATATAGGTTAGGAATTACGTTTTAAAAACGTATAAATTTTCGAAATCATGATTTCATGCTTGAAATTTATATGTACAGTCATGAACAGATCGGTTGCGATTTTTTATTTATAGGTTTCAAAACGCACTAATATTTTATTAAATGCGAACTACGATTGATGTTATACTGTCTCTAGACTAAAGATAGTATATCATAATTCGCATTTGCAAAATATTAGATACCTATAAAATATATATTAAAAACCTATAAAATAAAGTGTTGCAACTGATCTGTCCACGACTGTACAAGCAAGGGGAGGATACTATTAATGATTTTGTATAAGAATAATCAAAGTAAAAGTGTGATAAAGTCTCCTACTTTTATAATTTGTAATTTTATACAAGTATTTGAAACTTTTATGATTTTTGTTGTAGATATATCTTCAAGATGGAACTCAAGTGTACAGTTCAGACGTATGCTTGGGGAAAATGTGGTGAAAAAAGTATCATAGCAAAGTTAAAACAATCAACCGACGCTGATTTCGTAATAGATAAGGAGAAAACTTATGCAGAATTATGGATGGGTACTCATGAGAATGGTCCATCATACCTCAAGGATAAAGATATGCCCTTGCAGACATACATTCAGGAAAATCCGGATGTGTTAGGCAGTGATGTAGTGCAAACGTTTGGCACCAATTTGCCTTTTCTCTTTAAAGTCTTGTCTATAAATAAAGCTTTGTCCATTCAAGTGCATCCAAATAAGGTAACACTTTTTTCGACATTAGGTAAAAGTAACGTATTAAAAATAGATTTGTGGGTGCTCAGGAAAAAGCAGAAGAACTGCATCAATTATATCCGGATGTCTATAAAGATTCGAATCACAAACCAGAAATGGCAATAGCTGTGAGTTCTTTTGAAGCGCTGTGCGGATTCCGTCCAGTTGAAGAGATAAAAGAATATCTGGAATATATACCAGAGTTATGCGCTGTCGTAGGGAAAGAAAATGCTGAAAACTTATCTAGTGCAAACTTATCTAAAGCTAATTCTACGCCCAGCCATCATCTGCAACAGTGTTTTTACAGTCTTATGGATTGTGATCCTGGAAAAGTGGCAAAGCAATTACAAAAATTGATAGTTAGACTACAAAAGACAGGTAATTTCCACATAGAGTACAACAAAATGACGTTACGTAAAAACGATTTTTCAATTATTTTTTTTTGAAGAACAAACTTAATACCATACTCTAGTAGCATTTTCTGCTATTTTCTGCAGAGCAAAATCTGCGTGCAATTAATTGCAGCAGAATTCAACAATCTGCTGCAAGATTTATGAACTGTACATGCAAATAAACTATTTGCAGATATTTGCTACAGAAATCTATTTTGAAGCAGATTCTTTCCTTAACTACAGTCTGTAAATAGTCTGTTGGCAGTCTGTCAACAGACTAATATAAGATTCTTTCAGCAGAAATAATGTGCAGATTCTGGTCAAAGAATGCTACAATTCTTGCAGCAGATTCTTGACATATTGTGCCAAGAGGACGTTATATGATCTGCTTCCTCAGATTTACAGCAGTTTTGCAACAAATTGCTACTAGAGTAATTTATTAAATACTGCATGAATACTACGCATGCATGCATATTTTTTCTCAGAAGAATTCTTTGCATGAAAGTATATAATCGTATTTCACTTTCAGACAGTCATCATAAGCAATGGGCACATGCCGACCTATTAAACCGCTTGCATAGTGATTACCCTGGAGATGTAGGCTGTTTTACAATATATCTGTTTAATTATGTGAGCTTGATGCCAGGTCAAGCCATGTACATTGGACCAAACGTACCTCATGCGTATATCTCTGGCGGTAAATTATTTTTAAATTTGAAATATAATATGCATTCAAATAATATAATGATTTGATTGAGCTTTTAATTTAATTTTCAGATTGCGTAGAGTGCATGGCATGTTCGGATAACGTGATAAGAGCTGGACTTACACCAAAACCGAAAGATGTGAAAACTTTAATCGAAGTATTGTCGTTTGAACAATCTTCTGTCGAAATGATAAATCCATCCTGGGAGGATAATCACACTCAAGTTTTTCGTCCGCCAGTTTCAGAATTTGCAGTTGCTAGAATCTGTGTATGTTTCCATTTAATCTTAATAATTGCAAATGATCGCGTTTTACTGTATCGTTATGTATATTTATGTTAAACATTTCGTAGGTACCAAATAACAGCCTTGAACTATCACACGATATCAGTCAGGCTTACACTTTACGACCAAGAAATTCGGCTAGCATCCTCTTAATAATACATGGTGGAATAAAAACAAAAACTTCCAACAAGATTTTTTCCGAAGGCAATGTTTTGTTTATTCCAGCCAATAATGAAGTGGACATAGATATATTAAGTAATCCTACACTGATGTTTCAAGCATTTTCAAATGTTTGAGAATGTAGAATTAAATCGACAAACACTAACGCATATGAAACGTAAAATAGCTAATCTTTTAAAGCAATTGTTATACGTTAAATTTCTGGTATGCATAATAATGCCGAATTTTCCAATCGCTAGTATATGCGACTTTGTCAGGAATATGTGAAAAGCATTATCTTGAAAAGCACAATTATGAAATTTATATTCATTTATATTTATTTGTTTGAAAATTTGTTTATATTTATTTGTTTTTTTCGTAACTATAAGGAACGTTATATTCAATCGAGATTTTATTTAAAAAAGTATATCTATAAATATATATAAAAGTCAATCATCTTCCGAATCATTGCCTTTCTTTGAGGTGCTCTCTGCAGGTTTTTCCTCTTCTTTATAATGTCGATACTCCGGTTTCAATTCCCACATGTTTCTGTGGGGATTTTTTAAGTTATAGTTACAGACTTCATTGAGGATTTCCTTTAAATATACCTAAAAAATTTGCATTATATAAATATATATTGAATAAAGTTGTAATTTTTAACATATAAACTACATATTCTAAATTATTGAATACATAAAAAAATATTTACAATAGGTTGCCTTGTGATTTTTACAAGGTCCCTTATATTATAATATTGATGTTTCTCAAATGCCGCAAAAAGCATATCTAACACAGCATCTTTATCATCCCTCATCTTCTTTCCTTCCGCTTTTTTCTTTTCAGCATACTCGATCTATAAAACGTTACTGTGTGTTAAAGATTGGTTTAACGTTAAAAAGAAATTAATAAAAATAATGCCTACATTGTGCTTATGATCGGATACAGGCTTGAAATTTTGTACAACTCTATCTAACTGCTGGACTTGTCTTTGTGGCACAGACGCTCTCTTGATACTTTCCAGTTTTAACTTCATATAGCAATTATCAGCTAGAAAAAATTTTTATAACAAAACTCGTTTCTAAGAAATTAGGTACATCTGTTTGCGTAATCACTTGACGTACCATATGGTCTGCATTCCAATTTCTGTACAATTCTTCCTTCCATAAAGAGTTTCTCTGTTTCGGGAACAATTGCATCTGAGCTTGTGGAAGCTGCAAAATTTAGGTATTGTCAAAAAAATGTATTAAACTTGGAAATCTTAAATTAAACTTACGGGCAACGTGAGAAAACACTCCCAACATTTGTCTAGTAACTGTTGTAACATCTAGCCTGTGTTGTTTCGGTATTTCTCCCTCTCCAGATTCTTTCAAGGCTAAGACAGCTTCTGATAATTTGAGAGATACTTCGGCTTTCTGCCCAGGATTTCTACAGAAGGTAAATACAGAAATTAAATCAATATATGAACATAAAAATATCAGTTTCTATAAATAAAAAATTACAGCACATACTACAAAAGTATGAACAATAGAGAGGATATAAATATATTAATATTTTACATAGCTGTTTTTATCATACAATAATACATAATTTATTAATAATTAATGTAAGAAATTTGATTTACACATTTAAATAGAAAAATGCCTTTATTATTAAAAATCAGGATTAGATCTGATTTGAATCTTGAAAAGCATAATATTTCTAATATTTCTATATTCATTTTTTAATTATTTAAACTGCACGCTGATTTATGTTAGATTTGCAACGCATTCATAACTGAAGCTGGAATAGTAAGATCACAATTAAATTGATCTTCAATTTAATAATTCAACGCTATTAAGCATTAATTATGCTTAATACTAAGCGTTATCGTAAAGCATTGAGAAGAATTTTAATTTAATTTGTAATGTTATTTCCTCATTAAATTTGCAAATACTACAAAAGAAGACTTTATGTAAGAATCAATGCAAACAAAAATATTAGTGTGAAATTCGATCGTGAAATATTCAAATAACTAAAATGAGATATGTCAAATACGGTCAAAATGGATCTTTGTGCTTAATAACTAATATTTTGTCTAAAATCTCACAATTTCTTATTCAAACAAATTGTGCGTCGAACATTTGCGGTTTTGGAATATAGCTACAGGCTGAATCTGGAATGTGCAATATCACAAACTAAATTGACAAGCAATTTTGATAATATTAATACTAATGAGCATCGTTTAAATTCTGTAATATAACTTTATGGAAGTAATATTTTCGCAATAAGTTATGTCGGATTTATGTATACAGGATGATGTATATAGGCCCTCAATTGTGTATCTCAGAATAAGGTGAAAATTACAAAAGTGAGCAAATTTATTAGAATATTTTTAATTTTATTGGCCAATATCTAGTGAATTTGCTCATTTTTGTAATTTTCACCTCGTTTCAAGATCGACTCCCAGAAATTATGTTACAGGATTTAAAAGATGCTCATTAACATCGAACAGTATTAAAATTGCTTGTCAGACGTAATAATAGAACAATATCTGTGAAGTATTTTTTTTTTATATTTTCGGTAATGTTTCGAACGTGACAAATAAATACAGCCTTAAAACAAATTTTACAACAGCTAGAAGTGAAAAAATCACGTTCGTGATCTTATTAAAGACGAGATACTCCCGTTTTGAATAAAATACTTTCGCTTCTAAACAAATAGGCAGACTCACTTGGTGATCTTCAATTTGCCAACTTCTATATTGCCAGGCGCCTTTTCCCATTTATTAGCTATGTATTTAGGCACTTTGACGAGCCACACACCACGGCCGGCATTGCTCAAATCTAATTCTCTCTCCGTGTGCGTGACACTCGCGGACATTTTATTGCTATTGTTTCTTCAATGCTTGACAAAAATATTTACTTTCCCTTTTTTTTTTCAATAATGCAGTACTATTGAAGGCAAGTATATTGTATAAGTATTATACTTGTTATTGTATGTAGTATATATTATATGTCTGTGTACTTGCAATACTCCTCTGCAAAACGTTCACATGGGCAAATATTAACTTGAGATAAAATTGATTTCAAAATCGATCTAAAATCTAAAGTTATTTGAAACTGATCGATATAATAATTTGAAACTATCTGAAATTGACAAACTGATCGGAATTGATCTGAAAGAGACTGATCTGAAACAAAATCCAAGACCATTCGTGATCCGAGACGAGAGTGAGACTTCACTGAGACCATGGTAGAAAGACAAGGGTATGCTCTTGCGCTGCTTGCGCATGATAAAGCCAGACAACCAATGAAAATTGCAGCTTGCTACGTCATTACTACGTGGCAAATTCAAACACTTAAAGATAAAATAAATGATTATAGTAGCGTCGATACATTAAGGAATAAGCGAAATGATTTCACGAGAATGATAAGTAATAAATATTATTGTGTCACATTAGTTTATATATTCCACACATGTAATTTTTGTAAAACGAACAAATGTATTATGTAAGCGAATGAAATTAAGTTAAATAAACTGGAATTAAAGAAATAATGAAATTACAGCACCT